TTCACGAGGTTCGGACACATAAGGTAGAGTCCGTTCGCAGATATTGAGACTCTCAGAGTGTTAGGGTTGAATATGATCCTTCAAATATGAAAACGAAGTGTATTCGACCTATATCTTATCCTCAAGAAGGGCTGAGAAGAGTTCTCGACTGGGATCTTCAGGATCAATGTCGACTGCACTTTGGGGGAAAATAGGTCTCAAACGCCATTCGCAACTGCTTGCAGAGATGTCCGGAGCGCCAATCAGTTCACGAAGGAAAGGAAGCTGAATGACCAAATCATTTTTAGGGAGTTTTCAATACTACCAAGATGTTGAGGGGTGATCAATGGATGTGAAACGTGAAAAATTCTGTTCACGTAATCTTCGATGAATCAAGATAAATTTGAGCTTCCCCGTTTTTTTCACATACATGTGAGTTCCAATCGAAACCGCAGAAAACTCACCGAGAAAAATGCTGAAATTATTCCAAGTTTGGGACCGTAAGACTCGTAGCGCTGACTCTTCCACAGTGCTACGGCTCGCTCGAGTGCCATCGAGAGCTGAATGAGTAAAGCTCAGTACGATTGCTTGAACGGCTTGCGTAATATACCTGTAGGGCAGCGAAACACACCATACAGGATGACGCTGGATAACGTAACCAGAAACATACAAGAGGTGGCAAACCAATATTGCATGGTTTCGAATTTGTTAAATATTGAATTAGATGAGTGGTCTAGAAAACTGAGTAATTTTAAACGGAATTTGCCCGAATAAGAACATTCTCAAAAGCTCAGAAATCTTTAAAACCTATAAAGCCAATAAAGCCTAACGCTTAAGGAAACACGGAGAATAAAAGAATTACGAGGCAGTAGTGTCCATTCCAGATGTTAAGACATTAACGCCAATATGTTCACCACCACTAATCATAGTTGACACTATGTCGACATATGATTTTCGTATAACTGTACCCAGTTGGTCTACAAACAACTTGGACCCAGTCCCTGAATGCCTCGATCTTGTGCTTTCTTTGCACTCTCTCGTCACAGTGGCATACTACGATCGTTGTGACTTCACAAACTTCAGCTTTTCACAAACCATAGATGGCTTAGCCATCCCGGAGTCCTCTCCCCTTGGAAAAGCTCATAACGTGGCTCGCCACATGTCTCTTGCACATCTCCTTCGATGCCTTAGCAGCAGTTATCCTCCCTTTGTCTGAGTTATACGATTTCGCAACATGACCATGCACAAAAGTTCAAGGTGTCAACGTAACCTCCAATATTGATGCTCCCCAATACTTTTAGAGATTACCTAGTGATAAAACGTACATGAAAGAAACCCACTCTGTTTCAGCGCGAGGCAGTTTGTTTCACTACTTTCACCTTTCACAGTGAAAATTTTCAAGTCACTGATCCTTTTTTATTATTTACAATTTAGCGCGCCAAAATTAGCTCCGTCAGCGCCGAAACGAAGGTAGTACTTGTAAAGTCGGAAAGGGAATAGATTAAGCGTTGGTTCTTAAGCAGCAGTTTACTGTTTAAATGCAATTGCTTATTATACACTCATAACGTCCGATTTTCTCCTTTTACGAGTATTGATCATTGAAAAGTGTGGGAGACGCTGGGAAGTAGAGCTTTAAATATTCATATTAGATGAACTATCCAAACCCAAACCCTTGCCTCACCAACCAGGGGTAGGTATATTTGCAAAAGTCAAGAAAATGAAACGCCGTAACATTGGTATGCAATCCTGCACAACCTGTATGCAGAAGGAGGGTGACGACTCACTTGAAGAGCAGCTATGACAATGGAATGCACCCACATACATTACAAGTGACGTTGTTATTTAAGATCTGGACGAAAAGAGTCGGATCAAAAGAATATTTGTGACGCGTATACCACTAAATGTAATGTAAAACTTCCAAAAAAGTTTGTTTCCACATAACTGCTTGCAGTTGCGATTCACAAGAGAATAGCAGCTTAATGTAAGTGCATGAGGGCCAAAAATTAGCTGCTGCATTTTTTGGATGACCAGCTGCAATAAGTGGCCTTGCAGCTGGGTACCAAAAACCAGTATCGCGCGTGGTGTGGTGCGAGTCTATCTGCGAACTTGCAGATAGATCGCCCACACCACGACTTGCAGGCTCCAAGCGTAATATACGCAATAGCGCGTTGTACTATCGTCAAGAAGCGCGAATCGAATGCAAAAAATCAGCAGATAGGTGCCTATGCTCACGTGATAAAACATTCCGTAATTGCATTTATTGAGAAATAGATCCAAATTTGGATATCTGGTGTTCAAAAATACGAGAAAGCCAACTTAGCTGTAGAGAACACCTCTTTTCCTTTACAGTGATTTCAAGCACACGCACACGCACTAGGTGACGAAACAGTGATTACATAGAGTAGGCCGCTCAGCGAGCTCACGAAAGGGCACACTGTCGCGCAACCAAAAGAGACTTGCAGGCTCCAGGTAATACACCAATAGCGCGTTGTATATCGGAAGCGCGATCGAATCAAAATCGCATTTGAGCAGGAGCTTGTGGGCCAATTTACTTATGCTTCAATCCTTTCCAAAACAAGCGTACTTGCTGGGGAACCGTCAGTACAGGTACAAACTTTCTGTGCATCTGACCTACTCAACTCGACCGTCGAGGCCGCAGAGAAATTCACCTTTGACTTTCGCTGGAGAAATCATCTTATTGTTTTTGTTGGCTCACCCTTGGCAATCTTCGCTTTTCGTTCTGTCTCGCTCAATCTTGCCTAATAAACTGTTTTCGTTGATAAGAGCCGAATTTGACAAAAGGAAATATAGCAAGAAACTGAGCACGAACTGAGACTTCGCGTGGACTAGTTGTAAGTTGTGGCTTTCCTTCTCGATCCTTAGGCCTCGTACCTGTGGGGCTGCAGCCCTGCATAGTCAACAAGAGATTCTACACTTAGGGTAATCATGAGTCAAAGGGTGGGGATGAAAAGAAGGGAAACGAAAGAAGGGAAACGAATGAAACGAAGGGATGAAAAGTGTCAGCAGCTTTAAAGAGAAATTCGTTCACGAGCCAGTGAGCAAGAGCTCACTCTCTAGGAAATCGGTCGTAGAATCAGGATTTGATAATTTCGTTCGACATTCGAAAAGTATGTTTGACAACATTTATTCAACAAAACGCTACTCACCCTCCAGTTTATATGAAAATGCAGATTTCTGCACTTTATCGCCACAATTGTACTAATTATAGCGGATCCATATCCAGCGATAGCCTGTAGAGTCACAGCTGATAGAAACCCAGCATTTCGCACCAATATTTCCTTGTCAGCGCAGCTCAGCGCCATAGTAAAACAAGGGGTTCAGAAGTGTCGCTGAAACCAACAGCGCTTACGTTGTTGGGATCATAACTTGATTTCAACAAGCTTTCGACAAAAATAGATGAAAGACAACCTGAGCAGTAAAGTAGCACAGAGGAAGAAGTCAGCAGTGAATTTTTGTTATGCACCTTGTTTTCTGGGGTGAGGCGGGAGTGATGTAAGTTGTCGGCTCACTACCCATGCAGGACAGGGGGCAAATCCCAAACCTGCTCCAACCCAAGCCAACCAGAACTACTTCCTTCCAGTTCAGTCAGTTCCAGAGAACGGTCGGTACTAGTTTTGCCTGAGAGGATAAAAACATTCAATGATCAATCCCGGTGAAGACCATGCTACGCCAATAGCCATATTACATTCAATAAACTGCTATGAAACTGAGTTTAAGCAAAAAGGCAAATTATCCAAGAGAAGACAGTCGAGGGAGATTCCAACGAAGGCTGGGGCACCAATTGTGGCTGAGGCACTCAGAGCTAGTACGAGCATCTCCACGCCCTTTGAAATCTTGGTACTGCGAAAGTCATAAACCTGCATTTCCTTTTGTTCAGTCAAAGATTCTATGAGGTGAAACAAGAAAGGGAAACTAGAAGCAATGGATTGACCACAGGTCGCAACTAGATAGAACATCTGTTTTTATGTACAATAGCTTGATAGAGCATCTGGTTATATGTAACAATCTACCATTGTTATTCCTACGGCAAGGCACTTTACTGCAATTATAGAACGTAATGCTGTGAACATAAATATAATGACACAACTACGCCTACTATATAAAGCATAAGGTAGGGAATGAGCAGTTCCTTTGCGGTGAACTCTACTGTAACTTTCCCTATTCCATTCCCATTCACGCTTTGTCATTCTTTTGTCATTAATCTGCTACGCAGGAACGTGATTAATGAACTGCACCACAGAGGTTCTTTACATGTGAACTTGTCTCCAGAAGTAAGAGAATGCTTGTCCAGCAAAACGGAACTAAGCATATATACCATTCACTTCAATTCACGGCTTTCAAACCAAATTCACCACTTTTCTAATCACTGCCTTACTAGACACTACTGCAAGCCCTCCTCTATAGTTATAAAATATAATTTGAAAAATCACGCCCACGTTTCAGCGCGGTCGTGATTTTCCAAATTTCATTTAAAACTTCTGCGTTTGTACCTTTTTTGCACTTTTGTTATTTCACAAATACATACTAGTTGAAAAGGACTGTCCATCGCCACGTGGGCAAC